TCCAATTTACAATCTGGAAATATCCTTCACTAAAGAAAATTATTGATGTTAAGCATGCACATTCAGATTGTATTTTACACTCAGCTTTGAGCCCTGGGGGAGAAATTGTAGCAACTTTAGGTGATGAGTGTTTGAAATTTTGGCGTGTATTTCAAAAACAAAGAAAAATCAAGAATTTAATTAGATAATTAATCAATTTATATATATATAAATTTCAAGTGTGAATGAATATCTAGGATGGTTATCAAATCAAAACATTTCATTAATTATTGCTAATAAAAAAAACAATAATAATATTTTTTTTTTTTTTATACTTTTGAATATGTTAATCTTTTGCCATTGAGAAAACAAATCATATTTATTAATTATCAAATGTCTCTATTTCCATTTTTTGGTTGTTTGTCAAAGATACTGGCTGCAACTTTTGATGTTGGTTGCAACCACATAGTCTTATTGCTGGCATTGTCTTCATTTCTTATTAAAATTCATTGAATCATTTGATAGTCATCTCATTTAAATTTACATCCAGTATATTATCACCATCCTCTTTATCATGTTTGCTTTCACTGATATTGCCACCTTCTCTCTCATTGTAAAGATGATAAAGAGTCATTAAAATATCAATAAATAAAAATTGTTAAATTAATGTTGGTATTTATGCATAATAGAATAATGTTGACAATATATTACAGTTAAATTAAATTAATTATAATATTTTGCAAGTAAGAATTAATTAATTAATGATATCTTTATTATTGTTGTTGTTGTATTTTTTTCTAAGGAAAGAGAGATTAACAATTTATCAAATCCACAAGTTATCAACAATTGCCTTTAATTTCACCACAACTTTGTTTGTCACAATCCATCAATGTTTTTTATTATAATCAAGCCATAATCAAGCCAATTTTCAGAGGTTTAAGCATTTATGTTATATTTTTTATCCTCGAAATTATTTAACAAGTTAATGTAGTGAAGGCAATTGTATTATTTAGTTAGGATATGATTATTAAATAATAAAAATAAAAATATTATTATTATTAGTATATGCTCTACTAGTCAATGAACAACAGTGATTGATCATTAAATAAGGACAAATTTTTTTTCTTAAAACGTCTAAAAATCATTTAATCAATATAATAATTTTAAAAATAGTTTTTTTCAATAAATCAATTATTAATGATGAAATAGTATGTGCATAATCCTAATAATTGCAAGAATCTTGTACTGGTATCCCTGTAAAAAATTTATTCTGTGATTACACTCAGTGTTTTTCAGTTATTAGATTCAGTTTTTTTCCATTTATAATAATATTAACTAGAGCAATGACGAGCGGTGGGTGATAACCACCACCATTCTTACAATAAACACTTACCCACTTCCCCCAGCTCGAGCATCATCATTTTTTCTTTTGTTGTTTCTTTGGGCATCTTTAAAATCTAAAAAAAAGAAGTTTGTATTTGATCGATGTGTACACCATTAATTATTTATCCTATTGGTTTTTTTTTGGTAGGACAGATGCGAATTGATTAATTTTTATTTGTATTGACATAATGTGACGTCTTTTAAATATTTTAATTGGAATCAGAACATGAAGCAGATCTTGCTGGGTAATTATAAAATGGTTAACAAATGAATGGTATTTTACTTTGCATAATCATTAATAATAATAATATACTATAATTTAACTACAAGATTTCAAAGCAGCATGACTGACTGTTGCAGAAGAAACATTTCGATATGCGATGTTTGATTATCGGAAATTAGTAAGTGTTGAAGCACACATGCTACCTTGAACATTACAGTCATTCACACATCTTCCTCGTGTACATAAGGCTAATCTGACCAAGTTTTGCTCAATGATATTGTTGCAACCAAATTCCAGGGGAGGGGCCCATGGTCCTGGAGTTTACCAAGACTGCATCATCAATGACACTTTCACTAATCTTCACAGCACCAGACCAGAGAAGGCTGCCATTCCAACCAAAAAGTTGTCTGCAACAATCCTACCTCTAGGGTAAGGATGGATCTGCAACCAAGAGGTCTCAACTCTGCAGAAATATTAAGAGAATCTGCAACTTGTTTCAAGCACAGGAAGTCACAATTCAGAACAGGGTTGATGGCCCTGAAACTGCATTTGGGCTCTGATGTTAAGAGGAAAGTTGTAAAATAGTGTTTGTTTTGTATAATTTTTTTCATAAATTTTCTGTTTCTCTTTAATTTTTGTTGACCAACTGAATTTGTTGTTTTTTTAAATGGGAACTTTTTCCCATATAACCTCCCACCCTAGGTTAAAGGAGTGTAGCTCAATGAGAGCATGTATCTTACAAGTATAAAGATGGCAGTTTGATTCTGCCCACTCCTATTGTGATAGTCACCATGATCACTGGCATCAAGGAGAAAGCTGTAAAATAAAATGGTTCAGATTTTGTTTGGTATGCTATAAATTAATCATTTCCCCAAATTTTCTGCATTTCTTTAATTTTTATTTGACCACTGAATTTGTTATTTAAATGGGGTAGGGTTTTTGGTGAGTAGGCATACCACTGACAAGACAGGAGATGCCTTTGAGATATACCAGCCAAACTCATAGAAAGGGATCTTTTGTCCAGACTTAGGGTCACATGGATGTTAAGCACAGAAAATATACACTATTAATGTATATTTTTTTTCAACAAAATAAACATTTAAATAATTAATTATTAAATATTAATACTTTTCTTTTCATAAAAATTACAGCAACCCAGGACTCAAATCTCTGAATTCAGGGAAAATCCAAAACAGCAACCCAGGTTGCAACCTTCTGAGTTGCAGAATTTTCAACCAGTTGCAGGTGCCAACTTTTATGCCAGTGTGGCAATAACTCACAGCAATCATCACACAAATGCCAGCTATCAGCAATCAATGCCCATATGGTGACAGCCAAGCCTGGTCTGAGGTGAAGATAGGGATGTTTTGTCCAAAGCCTTCCAACTTGTTCAACCCTCCTTCACCTGTGGAAAACATTCCATGGTGCTGAATTGTGCTTAATTGCATCACGATTGCATGTTTGTGATAGGAAAGTTTTAATTAAATCTGACATCTATGATCTACATCAGATTTATTATTCATAAGGAACCATAATTGATGATCAGGAAAATTAATTTATTTTCTGAATCCCAAAGATCTGGGTAGACGCACATTATTAAAGTTTCATTTATGCATGGACTTGGTATTGTTACTACCTGGATGATGCAATTGTTTGTTATGTCAATTATAACATCAAATGTATCAAATAATCATCATGACCATCATGAATATTTGATGGATGGAGGCATTCACATACAAGGAAATGAAGGAAATGATTAATAGCCAAGTCATGTTTGTTTTGTTAAAGACATATGATCAATTATATTTAAAATATACAATAAAAAAATTGCAAGATGGCACCACTATTTCAATCAAGCTATCAAGCTGTCATGTTTGTGCATGATTTAAAATTCTTTTGTTCTCCCATCTTTCTTTGCTTATATATAATCTATTGGCTCTCTCTTTACTGGTCAAATGATGCCAAGTTGGGTAATGAGGTATTCAGCAAATATCAGAATCTGATTATTCTTTAAAAAAATAATCAAGGTATTAATTAGCATACTGATAAGTTAATAATATTTTTATCATATAGTCTAAAAGCCTACTAGTAAATATTGAAAATGCCAATATTTATCAGATATTCCTTTAAAATTAATACTATTTTTTAGTTAATTATTGGCTTAGTTTAATAAACCAATAGCTCTTTATATTGTAATTAAAGTTATTGGTTAAATATTTCTAAAGCTCTTTGTACTAAAATAATACCATATCTTGAGTAGCAGTTAGGGTTTCTATTCAAATAACATTTACTTGAATAAACAAATAATTCAAGTAATAATAAAACAAATAAAACAAATAAAACAAATAAAACAAATAAAACAAATAAAACGAAATAAAATGAAATAAAACGAAATAAAACGAAATAAAACGAAATAAAATGAATAAAATGAAATAAAATGAATAAAACAAATAAAAACGAAATAAAATGAATAAAAACGAACAAAACGAACAAAACGAACAAAATGAACAAAATTAATTATTTCATAATAAAAGCTATTTGCTTGTTTTTTTTTGATTTTAGTATTAATGCACAGTTTTTAT